CAAGTGCTCAAAGCCCTCTCCTTTATCAGTCCGTGACGGCAATGGATGACCTTGCCAGTTCCAGTGGAGCAGGGATGGCACGTCTGGGTCTTATCTCACATCCTGACCACAAAGACGCACAGACCTTGTCAGGTCTGACAAGAGGCCCGGGTTCCTCCGACTGGACAGTAGAGATGGTCCAATGATGGTCCAATGCAAGCACCCCAGCATGGTGGGGCGAATGCCAAGGTCCATTAGTCCAAGAAGTCCTATCACTGATTATGTTGTTGTTGTTTAGTCGTTTAATCGTGTCCGACTCTTCGTGACTCCATGGACCAGAGCACGCCAGGCACTCCCTTCATGGATCACTGCCTTGCCATGGCGAAGGGGCTTGAATAACTCAGAGAAGCTATGAGCTATGCCGTGCAGGGCCACCCAAGATGGACAGGTCATAGTGGAGAGTTTTGACCAAACATGATCCACCTGGAGCAGGAATCAGCAAGCCACTCCAGTATCCCTGCCAAGAAAACTCCATCACTGATTATACCTGCCTCTTTTTCTTTTAATTTACTTTTTTCCAAAAATGGTCTGGCACCTTGAAGAGACATGTCAGGAGAGGCGACTCCAGTCACCATTGTAATTTTCCCAGAATGCCTCCTGGTTCCAAAATAGGGCTCAGAGGCATACTGGGAAAATTAAGGTTGGGGTGGTTCTCTTTTCAGCACCAGGCTGCCTACTGCCACCGCTTCCCTCTTCTGTCCACAGTTGCTCAGCCTGCTGTACCTTGGTAAGCTCATGGAGGAGCTAAGAGGGCATTAATGAGGAGGTGCACACAGCTCCAACCCACAGCCCAAGATAAAGACTTATTTTCAGAAGTATGAAGTCATAATGAGAGACATATGAGGAATTAGTAGCCATTAACTACAAGTTGAAGTCTTGTGTTCATAGGTCACTATTGTCTATGGGAAAACTTGTCTTTCTGGTTCCAAAGTTCTCAAAAGCTCAATCCACAGTAACTCAGAGCAGGGCCTTTAGTGTGGCTGTCCCTGTTCAGTGGAAAAGACGTCCTGTCAAGACACAACAGCTGACCATGATCTATACGTTCTGGAAACAATTGAAGGTGTTTTTGTTCAAACAAGCTTTCATAGCTGGTCTCTGCCATGGGTGTCTGCCTGATATTGTTTTTGTCTGCTCTTGTTTTCTTTGCTGCTTTCATTTTTGTTTTGTTTTTTTACATGTTTTTATTGCAATTTGCACATCATCTTAAGATATATATGTGGAAGGCAATAGATAGATAGATAGATAGATAGATAGATGATAGATAGATGATAGATAGATATAGATAGATAGATAGATAGATAGATAGACAATGTTTTATTTATCCTCATCTTTTTTTGGAATGATTTTAAATGCATGTTTGTTTTTGTTTTAAATAACACTTCTTAATATTTAATTTAACTTGCTTACTGAGTTGAGCCTTTCAAAAGGTGCAACCTCCTGTTTAGGGCTTTCCCTGACTGTGGTCCCCCATTGCATAGATAGCAAAGAACAGTACACACCTGAACATCATACAATTTCCAGATAATTGTGTAGGTTTCTCAAAATCAGCAGGAGGCAGCCCAGTCAGTCATGTTTAATCTCTGGGCTTTCTCAGCAGTTCTTTGCATCTGGCATCTCTGGCTCTGTTCCCAGGCAGGTGTAATTTCAAACACTGGGACCAGTGACAGCTTTTCTATGGATACAAATGTCACCGCTTACAGTTCAATACCTCATGCAAGCCTACAAATAGGAATTTATTCCATTAGGAAGGGGATGCTCCCTCTATCCCAGTGAGGGCCAACAGCTACATATGCCTTCCCAAGGTAGATCTGAACTAAGATAGGACTTGCATTCTGATCAGGAACAACAAATACATTTGGGAGTTTTGATGGCTTCCTTAGCTTGTCTTTCATGGCTGGGCTGATAGGTATGTGTGCAAGATTTGTAGGAACACTGGGCTTTCCTACATTTTCAACCCAGCAGTTCCCAAATAACACAACAAATGCTGAGGGCCACCCCAAGACATTTTGCTGATGGAGCTGAAGGACAAGGTGGCTCCTTTTTCAGTCTATGCAGAGAACTCAAGCATATTGGCTGTTGAGTTATATTTTAACACTGGTGATGGAACAGTGTTCTCCACTAAACCTGGGGGAAGCCAACTAATATAGGGGGTTCAAGGCAGATGGTGGCACACACAATTTTGTCCAACAAAAGAAGGAAATGGCCAGGGGACAAGCCCAGAGAACAGCCACCAATATCCTCCCACTTCCCACAGTAGCTGCTAGTGCCACCTGAAGCAGCTTTCTCACTCTGCCTAATGGTAGCACCGACCCTGGTCTTGTGCTTAGCACCAGAAGCTGCCACAGGAAGAAAACTTCCCAAGAAATTCCTGTTTCCCCTTTGCATGCTCTCTCTTGTATGTGCTTTTGTGGCTCCTATCTAGAGAAGAGTGTATTTCCTTCACTCCATTCTTGTATGGTCCCCTGAGTTCATTTTGTTCTCCTTTCCACCTCTCCCAAATTCAGTTTAACCAGGAAACTTTCTAAGATTGATTCCTGATTTGGAAGAAGCACCATCTTCAATGGAAACGTCCATCCAATAGTGGTGGAACCATCGCATAGTGGTGCCACCCACCGTTAACTCAGACAGCCACTCCAGTAGAATACCATGGTCAATGGTATTGAAAGCCACTGAGAGGTTGAGGACATTTAACAAGAACACATTTCTCATGTCTGTCTTCTGACAGAGATCACCATACAGAGCAACCAAAGCACATATCCAAATTGAAATGGATCCAGAATATCAGTTTTCTCCAAAAGCGCCTTGTTCTAGAACAGATATGTCCAGCCGGTCAACTGCGATCTACAGGTAGATCCCTGGATGTTAGCGGTCAATCACGGAGCCTTATCGATCGCTGGATTAACTGAAGTGGGCAATGACTTTTGGGAAATGCTCCTCCTCCCTCCAATGAGAATGGGTAGATCACTGCCAGTTTTTATATACTGGGAGTAGATTTCAGTCTCTTGAGAGTTGGATGTGCCTGATCTAGAAGGGGTCTGATGAAGTACACAACAGTTTCCTATTTCCCTATCAGAACTACAGTGATTAAGGCAGCAAGAATACAACCGTTAAAACTGTTTAAATCTCTCAAGCATTCCTAAACATCATTCTCATGTTATATAAAGTACAGAGACAAAAAATGGTTACATAGCTCTACAAAGATGTCAAATATTCAAGTTTCTTATAGAATGATCTCCCAGCGATCCACTCAGAGGATCTAAAAAAAGACCCACCTGATATCCAAGATGCTGCAAGCCATTTGACCACTTTGTCACAAACCTATTGTAAGTAAACAGTTGGAGAAACTGAACAGCATGCTGTAATTGACAACGACCGTTTCCCACCTTGGCTTAACTTCCCTGCTCATTTTAGTCATCTGTTAAATGTTAATGTTTGTAAAGCACTTCAGAGGTTAAAAGTGGTGCATAATTGCTGTGTATTATTATTCTCATGCTCCCTTTGATCTTTATAAGGTTATCCAAACTCAGAGCAATTAAGCTTTCGATAAAAATGGCAGGAGCTTTTTCTTTGTAGAAAATGTCAAATCCGTAGTTTTCAATTTCCCATAATCTCTACTGGAAGAGTGAATGCAAAACGAAAAGCAATTGATCAAAAAGCCTTGACACAAAGAACACCTCGACAATGTAAATGAAACCCAGCTTGTTAAAATATATATATCGAAAAGAGAAGATTTGTATACATTTTTTCCCGTGAAAAAAGACTCTCCTGTCTCTGATTTGAGAAGGGAATTGGAAGATGTATTTTTATGGTGTCGGGTAATTGCTGTTTTGAAAACAGCAGTGTTTTTCACGGAGAACTAAGGGGAGGTTGGTAGACCTTTGTTCTTTATTTGGAAGATTTATGTTGCTAACCTTCAGCCAAAGCATGATCTATGAGCATAGAACTTCACTGGAAGAAGAGGGAAAATATGCCTTCCTGAATTATAAAAGATGGAATGCTGGTATAATAGTATATGCAGCTTACTTAAATGATTCCTAAGAATGAGGCCAAGCTGAATAAAAGAAAAGGATATCAAATGATGGACAGCCATGACCCCTGTAGTTAGCTTAGGTTCTACTTCAAGGCGGGAAGTGATTGCAACAAGGCATGATTACCTGGAAGTAGGAATGGAGAAGAAATTCTTTTTTTTTTTTTTTTTTGCCTTTCAAAAGAAACTACCTAATTTGCACTGAAGTTGCCACTCACATCAATTTTGTATTGGCAAAATCCTTGATATTTACAGATGCTCATGTGCATTTGAACTATATCTTAGCAGCATAAGTATTAACAAATGAACACAGATGGTGGCATGGAGATTCAAACTTTGACCCTGGAAGGCATCTATTACTCAATGGTCTGAGGACCTCACTGCCTTGCCTACTTTCGTACCTATTTCATATAAGCAACAATTTAATGTGGATGCCTAGTTGGACATCTGGAGATCTTATATTAACTTTTATGTTTAAGATTCATGTACTGATAGTCACTGTATCCTCAGTGTGAACTCATGGTGGTCTACTGTTATTATTCTTTCTTTCTTTTTTTATTCTCTTTCTTCTTAATTTTAATTCATCTTCTCTCCCCGCCCCCCTTTTCCTTTTCTTGTTAAATTAGCAAATAAAAATTAGAGAAAATTACACACTGGAACTTATGTATTCCGTATCAGAGTATTGGTGCCAAGGGGATACAGTTGTGTTTCTGGTCCAATTTTGGGAGCACAGGAAGATTTGGAGGTATAATGCCAGGTGTACCTGCCAGACAAGGTATCCAAAACTATCAAAAGAAATAAGTGTTAGGGTCCTGCTTTCTGATAAGCCAGACTAGTAGATTGTTCTTTGAACTAAACTAAATCAAAGTGCATTCTGTAGAATAATGCAACAAATGATTGTGACAAGTGTGCTGTAGATGTGCGTGACTTTCGAGGGACTTCCGGTCGGCGCCAGCGCTTAATGGCGGTCCTCCCTTCGAGCTCCGGAGGAGGACTGCTCCGCGAGTTCGGGTCTGACCTGCTACGGCGAGCGGGGGACCCCTAAAATCACAGGCGCGGAAGCCTGTGAACAAGGAGACTCGGTGGGCACCTTTGCGCCCCCCGGTACTGTGAAAGAGCCTTTTTAAAGGCTACGGAGCGGCATCGGGGGTGAGCGCGGTGCTGAGAGTCGCAACCCAGCCCGTGGAGTGAAGCCGCGTCGCCATGAGCGGAGAGCGCCGATTCCTTCCTGAACCAGAAATTCGACTCTAAAGCCCGTGAGTAAGACGGAGGGACTGAAAGGGACATTTAAATTTAAATCTTGAAATTTGGCTGAAAACGGGAAAGGCATAAATTAAGGAAGTCTGCCTCCCCCGATCTGCATGGCAAGTAAAGCAACGAAAGAGTAAAGCTGCATTTGAAAGAAAATTACCTTTAAGCTGTCAAACCTGACATTTGACTTAAACCTCCCCCCCAGTAAGCAGGAGAGGGGGGGAAGAAAATTGGACACTGTTAACCTGCTTGAAATTAAATGAGGGGAAAAAAACATCTTCCATTGTCAAACCCCCAGGACGGACTGCCTGAGTAAGGCACCGGCAAAGTGAACTGTCAGTTTAGACTGGATACAAAGTTGGGGTCTTGTCTGAGACAAAGTTACGGGACTTTAATGGAATTACTTTGTTGAACTTGTGATTTACTGAAAAAAGTGCGACAGAAACTTTCACTGTGGACTCTTGGACTTTTTTTTTTTTTGTTGATTGCTCTGTGCTTCCTTGTTTTTTCTCTTTTCACTTGGATACAATTAAATGCTCCCTCTAGAGGGTATAAAGAGAAACTGTTACAGTGAAAAAGAAACAGTGGGATTTTCCACTTGCAAGTTTTTCCTGTGAGAACGACCTTGAGGATATGAGTGGCCCAGCAGAAGAGATAACAACTAGATCCAAAGCAAAACAGACACAAAAGAAAAGGGGCTCAATACCCGGCATACCACCAGCTGCACAGGAAAAAGTGGCAACAGCATCTATGGATTCAATGACACAGGCACTGCTCAAAATAAACCAATCTTTAGAAGCACTGACAAAGCTATCTACGGAAAATTCAAAAAAATTGACAGAACTGACAGCAAGATTGGACTTGAATACTGCAAGTGTAACATCTAATACAGAATCTATTAATAAACTAATTCAAGAAAGTTCTGAAACACGAAAGATTGCTGAAAGTGCAAAAATACTGCGGAGGAGACAAGGCAGGAGCTTGTGCCGATTACAAAAAAGTGAATGAACATGATGCAGCTCTATCTTTGTTGGAACTACAGAGAAAAGAAAAATTTGAAATTGAGATTGGTTCCCGAGAGTGAGGGAGACAACCTTGTGGATTTTCTTACACAGAACTTTATGGAATTCTGGCAAGAGGAGCTGCAGGAAGAAGAACTTGAAATAACAACAGCTTTCCGGCTCGGCAGGAGGCAGGGGAAGAAGCCAAGGGATTGTTTGATCACATTGAGATCCAAAGGAGAAAGAGATAAGATATTGAATTTGCATTATCAAAAGGCATTGGAGATTGAAAATAGTCAAGTACAAATTTTTAAAGATATCCCTAAATATATTTTGGAGGTGAGAGCCTTCTATAAAGATTTGGTCTACCTGCTGAAGAAAAACATCATACCCTTCAGGTGGGAGTTTCCACAAGGATTGTCTTTTACTTTCAAAGGAAGGAAGGTTAAAATAAGAACAGTTCAAGATAAAGAACAGTTTCTGGAGAGATATCAGGAGGACTTGCAGAAAGGAACAGTAGAAACAACAATACAAGAAAAAGGAGTGACAGACATTGCAAACTTGTCATTTGGACTCATACCATCACCTGAAGAGGAACAAAAGCTAGGAGCAGTCGGAGGAACAGGTACTTAATAACAAAATGTCTCTGCAACTTCTTAGCTGGAACTGTAATGGTTTGAACCTTCCCCGAAAAAGACGCCAAGTTTTTCATATTTTGAAAAGAGAACAATTAGATCTAATATGCCTACAAGAGACTCATGTGACCAGGACACATCGGAAATTATTGGTAAATAAGAGACTTGGACAAGAATTTATTTCATCAGATAAAGTTAAGAAAAGAGGCGTGGTGATCTATGCAAAAGAAAAATTGGCTCCAAAGATGATATTTAAAGATGAACAAGGAAGATACCTGGCAATTGAAATACAAGTTCAAGGAGAAAAAATTTTGATAGTTGGAATCTATGCACCAAATGATGGGAAGGCGGAATTCTTTAAGAAGTTGCATGAGACTTTAATGGACTATTTAGACTACAGAATTATAATGATGGGAGACATGAATGGCGTAGTTTCCACAAATATGGATAAAGCACAGAGACAAGTAATTTCCAAGGAAGGAGACTACCAAAGACTTTTTTGAAATGACTGAAACTATGGACTTGATTGACATTTGGAGAACAAGGAACCCTCTTGAGAGAGAGGGAACTTTTTCTCTGAAGCAAAAATGACATGGACAAGAATTGACCAAATTTGGGTAACTAGCAGTATGGCGCCAAGGATTAAAAAGGTAGAAATCTGCTCAAAGACTTGCTCCGACCATAATGCTGTAAAGATGGAGATGAAACTTACAACAACTGGATCCTTCAGATGGAGAATGAATGACACCCTATTCAGGGATGAAGAGATTTATAAGAAGGCCCAAAAAACAGTGAAAGATTATTTTGAGATAAATTTGAGAACAGAAGTGGAAAAAAAGAATAATTTGGGACGCAAGTAAGGCCGTGATGCGAGGTTTCCTAATACAACAGAACTCCATAAAAAGGAAAAATCAAAATGAAAGGAAAGGAAAAATTCTGGAAAAAATAAAAGAAGGTGAAAAGAAATTGAGGTCTAAACCAAAGTCTCATGAGATTCTGAAAGAAATAAAGTACTATCAGGTGCAATATATGGAATTGATGAATCAAGAGATAGAATGGAAAATAAAGCAAATGAGACAAAAGACATTTGAATCAGCAGATAAATGTGGGAAATTTCTGTCATGGCAATTGAAAAAGAGGCAAAAATTGAACACTGTGACAAGTTTAGAAGTGGACGGAAAGATTATCCACAAACCAAATGAGATAAGTAATTGTTTTCAAGGTTATTTTAGGAAATTATATGCACAAGGGCCAGTTAATGAACAGGAAATAGAAGAATTTGTTAAGAAACATGGATTACCAAAAATTTCAGAGCAAAGCAGAAGGATTTTGAATGAGAAAATAACAGGACAAGAAATAGAGGGTGCCATTCAGAAGATGCAATTGGGAAAAGCTCCAGGACCAGATGGTTTGACCGCCAGATACTATAAAGTGTTGAAGGAATGGTTAGTACAACCACTGAAGGAAGTATGTAATGAAATTTTGGAGGGAAAAAGGCACCAGAGTCGTGGAAAGAAGCTTTTATCTCACTTATACCGAAAACTGAGACTGAAAAGAACCAGGTTAAAAACTACCGCCCTATATCATTACTCAATGTGGATTACAAAATTTTTGCGGACATTATGGCAAAAAGACTGAAGAGAGTGTTGGTAGGGGAGATTCATAAAGACCAAACTGGCTTTCTTCCAGGGAGATATATGTCGGACAATGTGAGGAACATTATAGACATTTTGGAACTGTTAGAAGTGGACATTAATAGGAAGGCTGTTTTAATTTTTGTGGACGCGGAGAAAGCCTTTGACAATATTGGTTGGAGTTTTATGAAGAAGAATCTCCAAGGGATGGGGGTAGGTCAAGGGTTTGAAAATGGTATAGGTGCAATATACTCTAAACAAAAGCAAAGTTAATTGTAAACAATGTGGTAACGGAAGAAATACCTATAGAAAAAGGTACACGACAGGGGTGCCCAATATCCCCTCTATTGTTTATATTAGTCCTGGAGGTTTTGTTAAATATGATTAGAGGAGACCAGTTGGTTAAAGGAGTACAAGTCGGAGCCAAACAGTACAAGTTAAGGGCATTTGCAGATGACCTAGTATTGACCTTGCAACAGCCAGATACTAGTACTAAAAGAGTATTAGAACTAATTGAGATATTTGGTCAAGTAGCAGGATTTAAACTGAACAAACAGAAAACGAAAGTGTTGGATAAAAATTTAACATTGGCCGAAAAGAGAAGTTTCAGAATGAAACAGGACTAGTGATAACGAAAAAGTAAAGTACCTGGGGGTAAACTTAACATCTAAGAATGTGAATTTATTTAAGGACAATTATGATAAATGTTGGACAGAGGTAAAGAAGGATCTAGAAATATGGTCAAGGTTGAAACTTTCTTTGTTAGGCCGAATTGCTGTTATCAAGATGAATGTATTGCCTAGAATGTTGTTTTTATTTCAGACATTGCAGATTTTGGACAAGATGGACTGTTTCAAGAAGTGGCAGAAAGATATATCTAAATTTGTCTGGCAGGGCAAAAAGCCCAGAATAAAATTTAAGAATCTAACTGATGCTAAAGATAGAGGGGGGTTTGCCCTGCCGGACTTAAGACTCTACTATGAATCGGCGGCTTTCTGCTGGTTGAAACAGTGGCTACTTCTTGAGAATACAGATATTTTGGATCTAGAAGGGTTTGATAATAGATTTGGTTGGCATGCATATATATGGTATGATAAGGTAAAACAGCATAAAGGTTTCAAAAACCATATTGTTAGGAAAGCATTATACAATGTTTGGATGCGGTATAAAGATCTATTGGAAAGTAAAACTCCCAGGTGGTTGTCACCAATGGAAGCTAAAGAGGTGAAAAAACTTAATATGGAGTCTAAATGGCCAAAATATTGTGAAATTCTAGAACAAGATGGGGAAAAGTTAAATTACAGAGCTATGAGAAATTAAAGTCCAAAGTGCGAGATTGGTTGCACTACCTTCAGATAAACGAGACATTTAAACAGGACAGGAAAATAGGTTTCCAGATGGAGAGGTCAAAATTGGAAACAGAACTGTTAGAACCCAATACTAAGAATCTGTCGAGAATGTATAATCTGCTGTTGAAATGGAATACACAGGATGAAACGGTGAAATCAGCTATGATAAAATGGGCACAAGATATCGGTCATAACATTATGTTTGCTGACTGGGAACAGTTGTGGACCACCGGTATTAAATTTACGGCATGTAATGCCTTAAGAGAAAACATTATGAAAATGATGTATAGGTGGTACATGACCCCAGTCAAGCTTGCAAAAATTTATCATTTGCCCAATAACAAATGTTGGAAATGTAATGAGACTGAAGGTACTTTTTATCACCTTTGGTGGACCTGCCCGAGGATAAAAGCTTTTTGGGAAATGATCTATAATGAAATTAAGAAGGTTCTTAAATGGACCTTCCCTAAAAAACCAGAGGCTTTTCTCTTGGGCATTGTCGGCCAATTGGTGAGAAGGAAGGACAGGACGTTTTTTATGTATGCGACAACAGCAGCAAGGATTCTTCTAGCAAAGTATTGGAAGACACAACAACTACCCACACTGGAAGAATGGCAGACGAAGGTGATCGACTATATGGGACTGGCCGAATTGACTGGCAGAATCCGTGACCAGGGGAAAGAGACAGTGGAAGAAGATTGGAAGAAATTTAAAGTTTATCTTAGAACTTGTTGTAAAATTCAGGAATGTTAAAATGTCAAGGGGTTGGGAAACAGAGAACTGCAGCTGTAATTAATAATATTAGAAGAACTTAAAAGAAATTGAATTGAATAATTAGTTGATTGAGGAGTTGCTGAAGAAATATAAAACAAGGATGCAGAAAAGGGGAGGTATGGGGAAGTCCGGAAAGTAAGGTTTATGAAAAATGGCTATGAAATTATACATGTTTATATGTTTGTATGTCGGTGTTTTGTGCATTGTTTGCTTTCTTATCTTA